CACATTTTTTTTTCCCGCGTGTAATTCCCCCCCCCCCCCTATCATAGAACCTCAATACCCCATCTGGGCATTATCTAGAGCAGTCTTCATGCAAACGTAGAACGTCTAGAAAAAAACCACTCTCCTAGACCAACATCCACCATTTAAAGCATTTTGATATTAGCATCACTCTTCCAAGAGCCAATCCAATGCTTGGATCAGGCCTGAGGTCTCCTGAGAGGAGTACTAAGGCAGGGTGCTGTGATGTTTTCAGTATTGTACAGTAACATGTCAGCCCCTCAGACAATCCTTTGCATTTAGAACCATAAAGACCTAGTGACTATGTCACTGGGTCAAAAATAAGGTATGTACCGTAATGAAAGGTTCTACTTAAAATATGAAATAAAACGTAATAAGCATGTGGATGAGACGACAAAGGAGGCATTAGGAAAGGGAAAACCATCAGCAAAATTAAAAATAAGCAGCTTAAACTTCAGCTTTAAAGCATGTAAAAATGTTGAGTACTATTTTTTTAAATAAATCTTTATTACCAATTTTTTCTTCCCACAAAACAAACAAATGAAAATCCTATACAGAAATAGAAGTATAATATTTGAATCGAATTCAAGTTTTAACAACGTCAATGAACGAAAAGATCCTCCCTCATAAACCTGACAACTACCCACCCCTAAATGTCTCCATATTCCAAAGCCTTGAAGCTTAGCATCTTCCGGTAACTGCCCATTGTTCCACAGAGGGTATATTGCGTAAATCCAGTAATTCCTAAAAAGGGACTCAGAGTCCCACACCTTCCCCATAAGTCCAATCGTAGGCATATTCCAATGGACCCTAACATATCGATCTGTTTCAAACAGGGGAAAAGGGTCCAATCCACCAAACCAGTTACATAACACCTCAATAAATCGAGGACTTGTATCCCTCCTCCTCCCATCTAACAAAATACTGCATTTGAGACACCAAAAGGTACAGCCATGGTTCGGGGACCAACATCCCCCCTTTTAAAGCCCACAACTACAGAGGTAGATCTCACCAATACAGCAAGGGGCTCAATTGCCAAAGCAAATAGAGGGGATATTGGACACCCTTGCCTAGTCCCCATCTGCAGCACAAAAGAGGACGTAATATTGTCATTTACTCTAATCCTTACCGATGGATAATATAATAATTTAATCCATGTAATAAAACCAGACCCAAACCCAAAAAGGTAAAAGGACCTTCCACAGATATACCCACCTCAACGCTGTCAAAAGCCTTGGCGATATCTAGCGAGAGTAGTGCTCTGCTAGTGGAATTCTCACTAGGGACTTGCATATTAAGAAAAACTCTCCTAATATTCCCAGCTGTAGATTTTTGGGCATAAAGCCAGATTGATCTGGGTGGACAAGACAATGTATCACCTTTGCCAAACTCATGGCTAAAACTTTGGCCATAATTTTAACATCTATGTTTAACAGGGAAATAGGGAGAGAAGAATACAGCAGCATAAGGTCCTTCCCCTTCTTTGGCAATAACACCACTATAGACTCACTCATTGAGACAGGTAAACTACAGCTCACAAAAGCATCATTAAAAGTGTTAAGTGGAGCTGGTAGAAGCGCCTGCTTATAAATTTCCATGGGTAACCCATCCGACCCTGGGGTCTTGTCATTGGGAAGGTTGGTAACTGCAAGTTCCAGCTCTTTCAGTGTCAATGGAGAATCCAAAGCCTCACTATCCACCTCTGATAGGGATGGCAAGGTTAATTTGGACAAAAAATCCTTGCCATGCCCCTTTCCTAAAAAAGGTTCCTCGGCAGAGTAGTCAGCTCTAGATGTATATAATTCGCAATAAAATTGATACATAATATCTCGAATCATCTCAGAGTCCACCTGTATAGCCCCCCCAGTATCCTGAAGGGCAGTTATATCTGTAGCCCCAGTCTGTGACTGGGCTCACTATCAGAACGAACAGACCGCACTATCCAGAGAATTCCAATACTTCAGACTTTTTTAAAATTCACTGCAAATCCAGTATAACGGTGAAAAAAAGTGTACAAAAGCAACAAATGCCAGCACTGCACACCCTTAGTTACAACCTCTCACATGTTTCACCCGCAGACTTATTCATATAGGTCAATGAAAGCGGCTTCACGCATGGCCACATCCCTTTGCGCGTTAACCTCCTGTTCCCTACCCCTTTGTTTTGATATCACAATTTTTTTTTCTGTTTGTTGTAGGCACCTTTTCAAACACAAAGCCTGAGATTCTCTAGGGGAGTACGCGGCCGAATTCCGCCTTATGCTCACCCGAACTGCACGTCCGTACGGGTGTCCCTGCTCGGACGCAGACAGGATCCACGAGATCGGCCACCCGCACGGACGTGCAGTTTGGGTGAGCGTAGGGCGGCATACTCCCATAGAGAAGAACAGGCCGCTTTGTACAAATCACATGCAGCACCTGTCCTTTCTGGAAGCTGCCCCATGCGGCTGTGCATGCAGCACGGATCTGTACGGGCCGGCCGTTACCCGTGTGAACGAGGGCTTACTGTAATTTTTTTGCTATGGGTACCCTGACATTTTCTGTTATGTCATGGAATGCAAGAGGCCTGGGGGATCAAGTTAAGAGACAAGCAGTCTTTAATTCAGCTCTCCATAATCTGTCTCCAGGAAACACACGCCACAACAGAGGCGATTCGCTTTCTTGAAAGTCGTTTAAAGAAACCTTTCAATCTTACTATACGTTAGTTATGCACGTGGTACCTCCATTTTTGTAGCCAAGTCAGTGGCCTTTTCCTGTAGACCAGTTAAATGTGACCCCAGTGGTCGTTATGTATTTCTACATTTCGCGTTTGTTAATCTGTAATGTATTCCGGCTAGCATATACAGTATATTCTCCCGCCTTACACTAGTGATGTGATCAAGCAATTGACCCCATTTCTTACAGATAAATTACCTATACCAGTGTTGATTTTGGGGGATTTTATTAATTGTATGGAGCCTCAGATAGACTAATTCCCTGCACCCCCACTCTTTAAGAACTCTGAGAAATCCAATCTTAGTGCTGGTTGTACCGAGATAGGTTGCTAGATATATGGGGTATGGTGCAACCCGTGGATAGACAATATACTTGTTACTCTAGGACTTGTAATACTCTCTCCTGTATTGATCTGGTACTGTGTTCTGCTAGTTTCCTCCCATATGTGTCCTTGGTGGATATACTTCCTCACTCTCTTTCAGATCATTCCATGGTGTGCTGTGAACGCTACTTTGCCCGCCCCATTGGTAGACACCCATGGAGACTTAATCCCTTTTGGATGTCTGGGTTTCCCTCGCATGAGCGGATTGAGGTGAGCATTTGAGAATTTCAGAATAAGTGAACTCACGGACTAAAAGATCATTGAACAACATTAGGAGGACATAATTATGAGCCATTTTGGATTTTTCCACTAAATATGAGGCTGTTCCTGGGAATGTCTACACAACACTAGTAGATATGCAGGGGCTAGGTGCGAACCAAGCTCGCCCAAGCCCATGCAAAACTCACACACACACACACCTACCTCTCCCAGCCAAATCAGTTGCACCTGGCGCATTCCCCACCCCACAGCTACACATCAAAAGGGGGGGGGGGATGCTCCTGCCACAGCTGACTGGGTGTGTGTCTGTGTGTGTGTCAGTTTAGCGAACACTCACAAGCATACATGCAGTAAGAACATTCATGTTTTGCAAAGGTCTTTCACAAGAATGAATAGTATGAAGTTGGACTGTGTCAATATGGCTGGCCACCGCAGTATATGTGGCTAGCTGAAGTTACAGTAAATGCATACACATAAAAGAAAACTTCCTCAAGATACCTTAGCAGTTGGCTCTTCATCACTGTCCGACTCCTCCTCGGTGCTCTCATCTGCTTGATGAGTAACTTTTAATATACCCTTAGGTTTATCCAATGCGGGTGCCTGTTTAGCACCCCCAGCAGGAGTTTTTGGTTGAGAAGAAATAACTGTGGCAGGTTTCTGAAAAACAGCAGGAGGTAATACAAGACAGTTAAAATATAATAACAAAATATCAATAGCAAAATTTGGTCTGTGCAGTCTTGAGAGGGGACATGGGAAAGCAGAAAAACAGACAAGAGGGCCAACATCAGACAGACATCGGGTACAGCAATTGCATAGGTTAAAAGAACAAAACCTCTTACCTTAGCAGCTGGCTCTTCGTCACTTTCTGACTCCTCCTCAGAGCTCTCACTGGCTGGCTGTGTGGTTTTTAACGGGGTCTTAGATTTTGCTACCACTGACGTCTGTTTAGTTGTAACCGCAGGCGTTTGTAGTTGAGATGACTGGAGAACTGTGGCTTGTTTCTAAACCCATGTAATAAATATCAAGATGTTTTTAAGAAATGTATGATTCGTATATTTTTCATGTACAGTCACTGGCCACTTAATTAGGTACACCTCTTAAGCTGCCCGTTAACGCAAATACACAACATGTGGAATCTTGAAGCAGATGGGCTACAGCAGGTCTGACTAGGTGCTGACCATGTCCATCCCTTTATGACCACAGTGTGCTCATCTAATGGCTACTTCCAGCAGGATAATGCACAATGTCACAAAGCTAAAATCATCTCAAACTGGTTTCTTGAACATGATAGTGAGTTCACTGTACTCAAATGGCCTCCACAGTCACCAGATCGCAATCCAATAAAGCACCTTTGGGGTGTGATGAAACGGGAGATTCGCATTATGGATGTGGAGCTGACAAAATGTCAGTATGGACCCATCTCTCCAAGGAATGTTTCCAGCGCCTTGTTGAATCTATGCCATAAAGAATGAAGGCAGTTCTAAAAGACAAAAGGGGGTGCAACCCTGTACTAGCAAGGTGTACCTAATAAAGTGGCCAGTGAGTGCATATTCAATACACTTCTGATCTGGCATGTTACCATTCCTATTATGGAGCATTTTTCCTTTCTGCATGCCACCCAGTGCAAATATCATACTTTCTGGATGACTAGAATTACTGTTGTATAAATCACAGTATTCACAAATGCCCCATGTCTCTTGCTGAAAAGGGGTTTTTGCATACCGCAAGCTTTCTACTGAATGTATTGTTTCTAAGGTCTTTAATCGAACTAGGAATTACATAGATCACTGCTACAGAACACAGACAAAGAAAGATTTGCACTGAAATAAGAAAAGTTAAAGTGGAACTGACATTAAATATTCTTTAGCCACAATGTCCACCCTCCTCACCACAAGTGTGTAATACCATACCCCTCATTAATACCAGCCAAACCCACTTATGTAACCCTCTAGACATTCAAAATTCTAACAAGGTTAGAGGAGCTGAGAGAAACAAGACCATAACCACCAGGCCTGTGGCTTGACTAAAGCAATGTTTAGAATTTCCCAACACTAGCAATTTTAAAAAGGACAATACAGCAATGGCGCTATATTTATTTCACTTTTTTTTCTATAGAAAACTTTCACATGCGTTTCAAATGTCTAATCATTTTTTTTTCCATGTTTGGATGTGCACATATGCCCTCTGGTGGATAACTGCTGTAAGACAACAGGTTCCTCCTTTTGGTCCATGCCACTATATGCACTGACTTGGCCCATATTAGGCCACCTACGCCAAAAATGATGCAGGTGGTCTGAGCTCAAAGTCTAAAATCGCCTGAGGTTCTTTGTTACTGTCTGACTCCTCCTCTAAGCTCTCATCTGCTGGCTGCGGTTCCTTTAAGGGGGACCTAACCTTAGGCCCCATTCACACCAGGGCGGTTGCGGATCAGCACGGATGTTTTTAATTGCCTTTAAGCGCTGAAATGCAAATAAAAATGCCC